TAGCGACCTCAGTCACCGCATGGCCGAAGAACGAAGCTTTACTGGTCAAAAATGCCGTAAGTAAATGCATTAAATTTCCTCGTTGGACTCGGGATGACATTCGTTCCTCTAGATATTGATGACAATGATAGTAAGCTATATCTGTCAGAAGATGTGATATCGTGTACTCGGGATACGACCATGACGATGATAGTGTTGCTGAAGATATTCTGGCATTTGCGTCGGCCCCCTGCCCCTGTCCTACAGCCCAAATTAGATCAGGGGAAAGCAATTGCTAGTCGTGATGCTCAGCCTGAGTAACAGTGATCAATATTTACCATAGTATGGTATCTCAAGCAAGCGGATTCTCGGCAGTGGACTCCCGCCGAGGTGGTTCTGAGCGAGAACGCCCTAGTCCTACTCGAGCATCGGCTGAAGCCACGAGACCCAAGAGTCCTCGATTTGCTAAATATACGTTGTCGACCACCCTTGTAAAGTTAGCCTTGTTGGCAGGCTTCCCGAAATCATCACGAGGCTGGAAGCCAGCTACTTAGTCCTAGCCACTCGGATCTAGGTAGTAATTGTCAGCGCCCACGACGTGTTTTGTGACGGCTGCATTACCTACCTACTGCAACTGATGAGATTAATTCACAAACAAAAGATGGGTTCGGAGGTAGCAGAAAATCCCTGTGCACGCAATCTGATAGTTGGGAAGAACAAGGATCGACAAAATTAACGGCGTCGGTAACGGCACATTTGCATGCCAAACAGGAACTGGAGAGCAGCATTAGCACTAGGGGTTATCAATCTCAATTGCCTACCTGCTGTGACGGTTGTCCACCAGATAAACTCCGGATGGAAGTTCGTTTCCCGCCGGCCAATACACAAGTAAAAGGCCTATATCCGGCGTCGCATGAAGTCCTGATCATCATTGTGCTTTTTTGGCGAGGGACTGAACCAGGTGTTTCGCACTGTGAAAAGATGCAATTTTGGATATCGCCATTCAATAAGGCTCGAAGACTAACGGTATCGGTCAGAATAACCCGGACGACAGTGAAAGCAATGAGTTGCACCGCTCCACACCCGGTGACACACCGATGTTCCAGAGAAGTCTTCGTAGTTCAAGGTGGGTTCAAAAGTTCGAACATCACTATCAGATGTTGAAGGGAGGACCCACAACCGTGCGTGTAGTCCTGAAACAGAGCTTAGAAGGATAACTAGTCTCCGCGAGGTCGTTTCACGTCAATCGTCACAACAGAGCACCCAATAAGAATACGCGCTTGTGGAACTAGGTAGTAGGCTTTAACGCTGAGGAAGTGACAAGTGGTGTTTTAGAGCTTCTGCAAACGCGAATCCTGAGGGAAGGCTGATGATCAGGACATAGAGCAAGGGGTGATTAGATTGAGGTTTAGTCGACTCTCAGCTATGGCCGTGCTCATATTCCGCCCTGCAAACAAGGGGCTGTGTGGTAGGAAAGAACTTCTTGAAGCAGGCGTGTTTGTCTGTGCATGGGCAGGTTTGTATCGGACTGGGTCACTGGGATATCCAAACAGTCGGCGATGCTTCTCGCCGGCCGAGGCGCCGACAAGGTGGGAGTTGAATAATTTCGGTCTTTCGTTTCTTGACATACATGAAGTACAGCCCCCGAGAACAGCAAATATGTACAAAAGGATCAACAACGAGCCACGCTACTGACCAACTTCTGGATCCGGTGTACGCCCAGAGGAACGCGCTTGCCCCTTACCATTTGTTGTTTGAAATGCCCTAGTGAATGTGTTGCTGCGCCTAAGGAGCTCCGAGTATTCGGCAGTCGTCTTCCCAAGAATAGTTTCTGACGATAGCGGCGCCCAATTAGGAATATCCTTTCCGAGACCGACCCCAGGTCATAAGTTTGGACTGCAATTGAAGGACGCGACAGGCCCCCATTGAAAATCGGGCTGGACTACAATAATTTCCAATGGCTGTCTTCGTATGTTCAACTTAAATACCATCCATATGATGGCGGCGAGAGATAGCCAATGCCCTGTCAAGAAAAAGCGATCAAAGTGTGCATCGAGGCGAAGGAATTGCGTTGAAAACGGCCGTTCAGAACGCAAGTGGCTACAGCCAATCGTAGATATCAATACCGGGTTGGGTGTTAACACTCATACATGACGACCAGGTCTCGACATTCCAGTGCTTGTAGTGCATAGTCCGAGCTGGGATGAAATAGGGTGAAAGTATCTGAGATCCATCATGAAGGTCAGTGAGTGAGTGCTTACGCAGTCAACTTCACTGAAACAGGCTGTGGTTGCGCTCCTGAAGTGGTTTCCTTGATGGTCTTCATCCGGAAAGATATGCGAGAGATACAACACGTAGTTGCTGTCTTCAAAAGCTTGATTTCCAAGTCCAGAAACCTTGCGAATGTTTCAGTGGTGCGGACATTCCAGGGGTTTGACACCAGGTAAAAGAAGTCATCCTGGCTGAACTTGAAGGTCGTCATTTTGCGTTGATGCGAAAGTGAGGACTCCCCGCGGTATAAGTGAGCCCGGGCGAGTCACAGTACATCACCGATCGTCCAAGAATTAAGAAACTGGGCTGAAACTGAGCTACGTGAAGCAAAGCGGGTAAAACAACAACCAGGCCACGAGATATCCAAATACTATGGCTTCCTTTCGATGAGAGAATGTCGGACCCCTCGTGCTCGTTATGGTGAGACGCTTCGAAATCAAACAAAGTGCTTACACCGAGACCATTCTGGTGAGAATACGAGCACTTTTGGAGCACATTCACAAGTGCATGATGGTCAGAAGGAAGCGGTGAGTTCACTTCTCATCTTTCCCACGTGCTGAACATCTTCTTGATCTTGACAATGACGAACCTGCTTCCCCTCTAGCTAGGACCGAAGCCTGGCCAGTAGCAGTCTTCCAGAGGCTTCCTTCCCCGGGCGTGCGCAAAGCCTACACAAGTGGAAATCGCAGCGTGCGGTGAAACATCGCTCTAGCCAAGTTGTGGTCTGGTCGGAACTCATCCTGACTTCATCCCATCGCTCGATTATGTGCATTTCTTCAACTCTTGTCGTTGATATATTGCATATGCCATGGGGTCAGACATATCATGTCATTTCACTTCTTGAGTGGGGGCACAAACGTGTGGCTCCAAGTTGATGCGCTCATCTCGCCCCACCCAACTCTCAGAGCAATCTTTCTGGATCTACATTGGCCCTACTGGTAGTAGCGTAACTGATCAAGCCCTTCATGCTATTGTCCTCCACCACTAAACTCTAGACGGCCTAGAGTTCTCCCATGCTCTAATAGGCAGTTCACGTGTCCTAGGGTGGAGCCACAAAACCATGGCAAAGAACCACAAGACTCCCGCTCTGGAATGATTCCAATTTCCGTCATCTACATATGAAGTTCACGCAATTCGGGTCCGACTTCTTCTATTTGTGTTGTTGACAGAATCAGCCCCAAACGGATGGCCTTCTTCGGCTCGGTGCGGCATTCAGGGACGTCCAATCCAAGCCTCAGTCAGGCATTAGGAATAAGTCAAGCTATATAAGACCTCCCATGTACCGGCAGCCCTTTCATCCGCTCAAGTGCATACTCACTTTTACAGCACACCGTTGACAGCACCATCTCCAGAAATGCCTATCATCCCCCCTCGCCTGAAAGCCTTGTTCAACGGCCCCAAGCACCGAAGGCTCTCTTCTGCCGTTTCCTTGACTCCTTCACAACCCGCTCATCACGAGCTCAAGAGAGCTTCTCCAGTATCATCCGCTATGAGTGATATGTCCTCCGTCTCCCCACACCTTCCCTCGCACGAACTTAGGAAAGCACCACACCTCTCGCTTGTCACGAGTCAGATTTCCGAGCCAGAAACGCTATACAGCCCAACGTCGCCAACGCCCTCCCGCCGCTCCACGGCCAGCACATCGAGCGCGACCGAGTTCGTTCTTCGGCTTCCCGCTTTTCCTGGGGTGAGTGTGGTGGATCATTTATCTGTATCGACGTGAAAGTAACAATTCTTGTCTTATAGTGCTGGTTCTAAGACACCTACAATGCACAAACGCCTCCATGCCATCTGAATCACCATCCTCCTATGCCAATAAGGTCCCCCACACGCACATGCCGTACATCGTGGCTGTAATGAATGGCCCAGCCGATATCCCGCCTCGTGGGCGTATCAAATTCTCCCGCGTCGAAATGGGCTGCGGGCGACCTTGTCCCTTAATCTGTTATACGCATGTCGATTTACGACGTGAACATTATATGAAATATGCTCCCACCTCTCCTTAGGCCCTATCTTCCCAACATGGCTATACCATAACTACGTCCAATACCCTCCCTGTTGTACACATGCCATTGTACTTACTCTTCTCTACAGCATTACAGTATACGATCCACCATAGGAATCCGGAAGCATAAGCTCCGAGCGACAATAAAGCACCCCCATACCCTTTTTTGACTATTGGGTGTTATCGACACCGGCTGAGAGGCCTAATCTTATCCCAGTGGCCCTAAAGCCCAACTTAGATCGCAGATTCTATAAATCGAGCTTCTAACTTTAGGTAAGTTCCGCTGGACCCACGTGGAGTCTGCTATAAGTAACCTCTGGCGATGAACTGATGCTTCCTGTATAGATAGTAAGCCTTCATGTGGGGGATCATTGATGCTTCCGCCACCATTTCTTCTGTTCATCATCATTATTGTTCTTGCAATTGTGGCACAGGCTAGCCAAGCTGAGACGACTTGGTTATTCATCCTCAGAATCACTTTGTAGGCGTCCTACTGCAACTTCTTGTCTAACCTGTTGTATTTGGTACTAGCCTTGCTATAGCTAGCATTGCCCAACAGGCCCATTCTTCTCCATTTCGCAAAGCGTTGAGGACCAGTGGTCTCTCTTATACCTTTGATCGTCTACCTACTGAAGATGGATGCGCCTACTTGAACTCTACCTGGACCTGTGCGTCCGCCGAATGCTATGTGCGCCACACAGAAAGACTGGAGCAATATAGCTTACGTCCTTTGGGATTAGCACAAGCCACCGTAGCACAATGGTTAGTGTGTTGCTTTCCTATGAGTTGGGTTACTTGTAACTCAGCGAAAGGTTAGGCAGAGGCTGTGGGTTCGAGTCCCATCGGTGGTTTATGTTTTCATGATCAAGGTCACATAACTTTTGCTACCTACCATATGTTCGAAACCTGCACGAGAATCGACGAAGGGCTTGGTTTCAATGAATTCCCTATTACGTTATTCGCAGGCATATCCCTTTCATGGTGCTTGAATTGATCGCACTTCCGGCTGGCAAGGTAAGCACTAGTCGTGGGAACCCATTTCTATATCCTTCATTTTCGATGTCCTGCCTTCTTTCTTCCACCTCCCTCCTTCAAACCAGGTCGGCGAGGCTCAAATCGCGTCACAAACTCTAGGATTTCGTATTATTGCTCTCAGTGACCATGACAATTCCCACAAACGCCTCAGAACGCGCTCCGAACGCGTCAAGCGCGTCTGAGCACGACGAGCACCAATACCTCCAGCTCATCCGACGCGTCCTCGACACCGGCGACGTGCGCCCCGACCGCACAGGAACAGGCACCATCTCGATCTTCGCGCCCCCAAACCTGCGATTCTCCCTCGCCGATTCCACGCTCCCACTCCTCACCACGAAACGCACGTTCCAGCGCGGCATCATCGAGGAGCTGCTGTGGTTCGTGCACGGCTCGACGGACTCGGCGCTCCTCACGAAGAAGGGTGTCAAGATCTGGGACGGGAACGGCTCGCGCGCGTTCTTGGATAGTAGGGGCCTGCAGCACCGCCGTGAGGGCGATTTGGGACCTGTGTATGGGTTCCAGTGGAGGCATTTTGGTGCTGAGTATGTCGATTGCGACAAGGATTACACGGGAGAGGGCGTCGATCAGCTGAGGGAGTGTATAAAGAAGATCAAGGAGAATCCGACGGATCGTAGGATCATCCTTAGTGCTTGGAATCCCAAAGGTACGTGCTACACTTCACCTATCGCGATACCCTTGATTTACGCTCTTGCTCTCTCCAGACATTCCACTGATGGCCCTCCCACCATGCCATATGATCTGCCAATTCTACGTGCACCTCCCACCAGTCTCCACACCAGACGCAAAGCCTAAACTCTCCTGCCTCATGTACCAGCGCTCTGCCGACCTGGGGCTGGGAATCCCATTCAACATCGCCTCCTACGCGCTCCTGACACACATGATCGCGCACGTCACCAGGACCGACGCGCACGAATTGATCATACAGCTCGGGGACGCCCATGTGTACCGCGACCACGTTGATGCGCTCGAGCAGCAGCTCAAGAGAGAGCCGAAGCCATTCCCGAAGCTACGATGGGCCAGGGAGGGCATTGAAGATATTGAGGAGTTTGGGTTTAGTGATTTTGTGATTGAGGGATATGAGTCTCATCCTGCGATCGCGATGAAGATGAGCGTCTGACGGATCTATGGGCTTCTTGAATTTTTTTTTCACTCCGACAAATATATACCAGTATTGTAGACTAGATTGCTCTGTATCTTCGTTTTTTCTCGACTTGCGCGTAAAGTTTAAGAGGAAATCGCCAGAAAGTAGCTCACGTGTGTGAACCGATCTCTCAACGCCGATCGCGTCACCATGACCCTGACAGACTAACAACGCTAAACCAACGTGGGCCATACTCCGAGTCTTTCCTCGTCCTCGCCGTCATGGACAACCTCAAAGAGCTCTACATTAACCTTCATCCAGCGTACAAGTGGCCTGTCGACTTCTGCGCAGCTACAACAGTTGTAACCTGGGTCGCGTCTCTGGTCACCTCCAACGTTTCTCAAGTAGATCGTCTCTGGACGTTCCTGCCGTTCATATACACCGCATATTATGCTCTTTTGCCTCTGTGGCCTCAGGAGCCTCTGTTTTTCTTGTGCCCACACACTCCTAGGAGCCTTGGATGGGCAACAGCGAAAGATTTCAGCCCAAGGGCGGTCCTGATGATGTCGCTGGTCTTTGTGTGGATGATTCGGTATGTGCAGTTTATCTATTCAGCTTCCTATTTTGACTTAACTCTCGTTACTCTAGTCTATCGTACAATACCTATCGACGTGGCCTGTTCAAACTGTAGGTCCCTGTTCAGTTCACCCAAAAGTCTCATAACGAGTCTCATATTTTTTTTCGCAGGCAAGACGAAGACTACCGCTGGGCTGTGCTCCGCACCAAAGTCCCCGCATGGCTTTTCCAAATCATCAACCTAACATTCATCGCCGCGACGCAAAACTTCCTCCTACTCCTCCTCGGCCTCCCTACCAAAATTGCATCAACAATTCAACCGCACACCCCTCTCGCCACATCGGACTATCTCCTTGCTGCACTGGCACTCGTGGACCTGGCATTCGAGTTCACAGCGGACAATCAGCAATGGGCGTACCACCAGTACAAGCATGCGTATCTGGCCGCGGAAAAGGGGGACGAGACGTCCGAGGTCGAGCAATATGACAAGAAGAAACAGTGGCCGGGCGCGGGCCTGGACTTTGTGCCCCAGGACGCTAAGCGTGGCTTTATCACTCGGGGTCTGTGGGCATACTCCCGGCACCCTAATTTCCTCTGCGAGCAGTCTTTCTGGGTGCGTTCGCCTTCTTAATTCACTAAATACTCTTCTCACGATTATATTTCCAGTGGATAATAACCTTCATCCCCCTCCTCTCCCCCTCTCCCCCACACCTCCCCATCACGAACTTCCCAACGCACCTAATCCCCTCCTTCTCCGTCATCTCGCAAAACTTCCCCTACATGCTCTTCCCCCTCCTCTCTTCCTTCGCAGAGCCCCTAAAAGACGTCATCCCCGCCCTCGCGCTGTCAGCGCTCTTCTTCTCCTCCACCCTATTCACGGAGTCCATAAGCGCGGGCAAGTACCCGAGGGAGTACAAGGCGTACCAGGAGCGCGTCGGCATGTTTAGCCCGCTGAGGACGTGGGAGAAGGGGGTGGTGCTTATGCTGCGTGGCAAAAAGGCTGAGGTGGAGAAAGTTGTTTGGGGCACGGGGGATAAGGGGAAGAAAAAGGAGTAGGTTTCCTTTGGTTGGGTGAAGGAACGTCTGTTTGGACCGGTGGAATGAGTGGACTGGTGGAATTGGAAGCGGTAGCTGAGGATCCGTGGACTCAGAAGCTTGACGCGCCTGACGATTAGGACTGTTTTGGCCTGTGTAATTGCAACTAGTGAGGATCTTTTCTTGTTTTACTGTACTAAGCGTTGTTTTGAAAATCTTTTGGCGTATGGCAAGGCTGCATATTTATGGTCGCGTCACTGCCTTACCTTCGTCTCTGCAAACCCTTCCTGCTACACCCACCTGTCAGCCCAGTCAAACATCCGTATGGGCGATAAATTGTCCTATTGGTGTAACATTCCGCAGTCTCGAAATGTATCGACTGAGTGAACGTCGGTGCTTTCAACATGGAAGAATCAACCCCGCCTCGTTACATACTCCAGGCGGGGTTTTGAGCTTTGACAACGAGCAGTAGATATACGCGTACGTTTGACGGAAACTACCGCGCTTCTTGAGATCCTGAAGGCATCAACTTCGATTTGCGCCGATCGGATCCATGTGTGCCATCGAAGATGGATCCGGCGTCGAAGGGAGGAACTGTTTGGGACCTTATCCAACGTTCGACAGCGGCGGTAGAGGAGGTGGGAGGGGAGGGGAGGGGAGATGGTAGTGGTAGAGAGGAAAACGGCGCTAAGACATCCGGACTCCTCGCCTTTGACACAGTCTGCGAGTGCCAAGCCCCTTCCTCTTGTCGTGCATTCATGAATCTCTTAAGCACATCAACATCATGATACTGTTACACGTCCTTGGGATCATCTATCATTACCCCTACTTCTACAGACACCACACCACCTGCGAGTGAGTTTAGTTCAAGCCTCCATGGAAGATAATCCCACAGCCTTCTCTATACGATCTCAACTGTATGCCTAGTCATCCTCCAACATTGTTCAACCAGAATTAACTTCGTCCTAACCTTTGCAGAACCCTCGACTACAACCTCGACTTTATTGCCCACAGTACGGGTTTTATATCTGCTAAAAGCCTTCGATATTGACCAATGCGGTGCAAGGCATACTCTATTATGACTACGCCTTGACATTATCCAGGGAAATCGAACGTTTTTGGTCCACCCGAGCACTTTCATGGCCTTCCGGCTTATTCTACCTCAATCGCTACGTAACACTTTTAGGCCACGTTCCGGTCATGTTCGAGTATCTTTGGACGCCTCAGGGCCCAAACTTGGTACATGTATGTTCTATCTTCCTTGTCAGGCCGCCTTCGCCTCACAAACTACTTGTGGCAGATGTAGGCTACACATTGCATTTGAGCTTCCAGCTACAAACTTTTATACAACTTACAGATGTGTCTCGCTCAACACCTACAACCAGTACCTTACTGTGATCATCCAGGCGATTGTTGGATGTATGTGTCCAGATTACTCAATGCGCTTATTGAATTCCTTACGTTGTCAGTTCTTCTCATCGTGAGGACCCATGCACTGTACGACCGGAGTTTTCGAGTGCTCGCGTTCATCCTGATATGCACCTTTGCCGTCATTGTATTTGGTATTGTGAGTGATTGTAATTTCATTCGAGAGGTCCATCCTCACTGTCCTATATGCAGTGGTCCGTGGTGGCTGTGCAGGGAACCGATCCACTCATAACGGGATTTGAGATATCTTGTGCCCCACCACTGAACCATGATGAGTGTGTACAGTTCTTCCTTCTCATTGCACCAGCTAATCGAATGTTAGTGCGACCCGTTCGTACAATCAATCCTTCAACCGGAAGACAATTTTCCTGATATATGGATCTTCCTCTTGGCAGGCCTCGCAAATGCATGGATCGGGTTAGCCCTGTTTGATGTCCTGATCTTTGGAATGACCCTACGCAAGTCGTGGGGACGGGGGTATGTGGGTGGTCGGTCACGGTCCTTCTTCAAGCTCCTACTTCGTGATGGTAGGTTTAATACTGAAATATTTCTTTGTGGCTGACGGTTACCCAGGTGCCATTTATTTCGGGTCAGCAAATCTTACCATAGAAGTCGTTCACAGTTCACGCCATGTATCCCCTTAGGATAATGGCCATCGCCGAACTCATGAATATC